TAGACAGGCATTACGGCAGTAAAAGCCGTAATGAGAAACGGTTCTGCGAATAAAGGTTAGAATACATACCACAGGCAGTTTGTAACAGCCATACAAGGTGATGAAACTACGGTTGAGTGTGGTGTTTGTGGACATTGAGTGAAGGCAACTCAAACATTTTTTCCTATTAAGCACTGCCTTACGTTATAGTTTAAATGAAACATTTTTACTCACGTGTTAATTAGCTTTGGCATTGGCTTGTCACATTTATACCGAGTTGTTTTTACAGACTTAACGTTTTGCAAATCGAGATTGATATTTTATCAAGCCAATTTTTAGGTAAGCCCAAATAGGAGTCAAATAAAATTTAGAAGACGTTAAACTGAACTACTGTACTATGACTTCAGTTGTTGAAAGCCTGTCCCATTACAATGCTTTTGGTTTGTGGTCAGTAAGAGTATTTGATGACAATGAGCAAGCCATGTCCAAATATGGTTACACTGTCTTAGATTTACACCTAACCCCTGATCAAAGTGACAATATTTCTAGAAAGTGTTTGGAAGGTGGTACATAGTTATGATTTATAGTACTGTATGAATAAACCAGCAGTGCAAACACAGAATTTGTATACATAGTATAACAAGAGCGACTGAAGGTTCCCCTCTTGTAAATCTATTAGGTCATAGGCAGTGTGACATGATAACATTGCAGATGACCGATATTACTGTACTTAAACAGTATTTGTGCAAATCTAACCATTATTTATTAGTTTCTCTTTCTAACATGTCATACCTGTCATACACTTTTTATTTTAGAATTAGATTTTAAAAAGTTGTTCATCAATTTGCAGATCAGGTGTGATGTCTTATCCTGAACTCTCCCTGGAACATTACTACATCGGTGTGGATGTGGGAACAGCCAGTGTACGAGCAGCTCTCGTTAGTAAGGAAGGGCTGGTGAAGACAACTGCTAAAGAACCTATCCACATCTGGGAGCCCCAGACAGACCACTATGTCCAGTCCTCCACTGACATCTGGGCTAAGTGCTGCAGCACCATCAGAGTGTGTTCAATTTTTATTTCTTGTTTCCTGTGTTTCCTCGCATGCCTGAGACCAGTGGCTCTTTTTGTGTTGAAATCTAAAGTCTAATGAGAACCATTATTATATAAGCTTAGGGCTAACTAGTACACACATGCTTTTCCACAGTTTTCCATCAGGATTTCTAATCATTTGTTCTTTTGAAGAAAAATGTTAATTGAGAAATAGATTCATTCTGTCCTTGAGTTTTAGTGATGCCATTCATTTCCTAAGGAGCTCAGTAATCTTGTAGTCTTGTGTGATGGAAGGCTGGCCTGTTGGTTCAGTGAAATTCACCACTGTCAATGGAAGCACTGTGTAGCTCAGGGCTGGGAGGTGCCTGGCAGGTGGCAGTTGAATCCTTGTAGAGGACAAACTGCACATGGCCACAAATGGGCTACAGAGTGGCTAAACTAGTAACTAGTTAATCAGATAGCATCTGGAACACATCTGAGTCAAATCATTAGCTGACTGTGATCTTAATTCCAACATTAGTTTTCTATAACTGTCCAAATGCCAGTAGGGTTAATTTGCCAGGAGATCTTACAGTTATACTGTACATCCAAGAGGAAATTTAAATATTACCTGGAGGTGGAACACTGTAGGTTCTCTGAGAGGTGAATGGTAAGAACAAGGTTCTCTTTTTGGGGATCAGGAAGACCAAGACTCCTTGAGGGAGGTTGTGTAAGAAAGAAGCAGAATACAGTAAGGTCTCAGTTAATATGCTTGAAGGGCGAGATTCTATTGTCTTGGTACAAAGGATGGACAGATTTGATAGGGCATCCAGGATGAGAGACTAGAGTATATCTTGAAGAAGAGGGGGAGGAGCAATGGTTGGCTCTTCCCAGGACTCTGATTGGATAAGCAATATGGATGGTGGCCCAAGAGCAAAGGGGAAATGGCTTCCTAGAAGAAGCCGTCTTAGTGCCGCTGGGTTAGATGTTTTCTCGGGACTCAGAGACAGGCTGAATAGTGAGTAGTCAGACTCACAGAACTGTGAAATAAGATCGATACTTCTCTCCATTTGCCAAAAGTGGAGGTTAAGATCAGCAGGGTTCAGTAAGGTTCCAAAATCTGTAGGGCAGTGGTTGTCAATCTTTTGTCACCATAGACCACCTTAATTATTCCTTTACTAACACAACAGCAAAAAACCTTGGTTCAGCTGTGAGAGGGACGGAGAGACAAGATCAAGCAAGATAATTTGCCAAACCTTAGTAGCACAAAACACATTAGGGTTTAGGTTCACTTTCGATTCAATCTTAAAGCCTAAATTTATATATCTGTCATCATACTTCCAGCCTGTCTTCTTTTTATTCACTCTGTTTGTTCTTTCAGAACTTATAGTAGGTCTTTCCATTTCAAATTTGCTGATTTCTTTACTAAAATTCACTTCAAAATTAGCATTGTTTTTTGTTTCAAAGATCCAGTGTAAAGCCACTTATACATATTGATTTATATTGGATTTAATGTTACCAAATATTGTATTAAACTGATTCTTACATGCTACACTTATCATGAGAACATAAAACTTACTCCACAAATAAACAACTAGACATTCAGTTGCAATGTGTAATTAGACTAAGAATTGTGACAGACTGAGGTGGACGTAATGAGTATCATAACTGCAGAAGCTGTTTTGCAAATAATATGGCATTTAGATGCCACTACCTGAAAGACGCAGCGTCAAGATACAAAGGCAGAGTAAGTCATCCACAGACTGTAATTATATTTTCAGTTTATTACAAATTTCTTGAAAATGAAGGATTTTTGCATATAACATAGACAGGATTTACATGTTACTGGTTGATTATATCACTAATATTTGTATCCTTTGCAGACCACCCATAACGATCCCCCTGAACACCAACGGTCCACCGACCACTGGATGAGAAACACTGATGTAGGGAGTTAGAGACAGGAGAGATCTTTAGGCACAGTGAGGAAGGGGGTTGGTTTCCTCATACTTTAAGTCCTCTACACAGTGGAGGCAGCTGTGAGCATCCCAAAGCTCTGAAACAGTGAGTGAAGGGTTAGGGATGCTGCAGAGTGTAAGTCTTCGTGTAGCGTGAGGTGGTGGCATTTGAACACTCCTGGTTTGGGTAGCGATAGAGACTGAACCAGTGGTTTCCAGTCTGGTCCTGGTGACTCTCACACCTGTTGGTTTTTGTTCCACTGGAGCCATCAGTCACACAATGAAACCCTTCATTGACTTACTAATAAGATTATTTTGAAGTGTTTGTTCCCAGCTCTTTAACATGTTGGAGCTTTAACTGTTGTGTTTTGTAAGTGAAGTAAAATCCCAATCTTGAGGCAAGAAACAAAATGCAAGTAATCAATTGAAGCAACGTCTTAGATCAAGTAGGGCTTCAATTGTCTAATTATGATGGGATGGATTGAAAACAAGCAGGTGTTTGGGTCATCAGGACCAGGATTGAGAACCACTGGACTAAACTCTTACCCAGCAAGTTCAGGTGGAGATATGGTTATGGTTAGATATGGTTACAAAGGAATCTTTCCTGGTTGGAGATACACAGTGACTCAAGATCCTGACATCAGTGGTAGCTGAGAGTTCCAGAGGAAGGGAATTATTTAACACCAAGCAATCTGGAAGGAGGTTAATAAACTTCAGGCAGGTTCTCTCCAATGGTTACACCTTAAGCTTGAAAACAAGTTGGATATCTGGTCCTGATACTCTGGTAGGTTGGTTAACAGTCTCCCCAGAGATGCGTAAGGACAAGACTGCAGAAAACAGCCACAGAAATGTCACAGTATTAAAATTCAATCAGAGAGCTGCAAAACTCCACTGAAACAGTGCAAAAAATTGTGTTGGCACAGAGATAAGCACTCCATTGCAGCACCTTTAAAAATGGGCAATTAAGCATGCTTTGGAATAGGTGTAGGTCCTCAAAAATTTGTCTTAACTTTTGCTTGTGCTGTGACATATACATTTTGGTGATTATGGGAAACGAATAAAATAATGCTGTTTTAAGATGATATTAATTGGTAATTTTGTGTTAGGAAATAAAGCAGTTCAAACACTCCAATATTTTTTTCAGTCCTTTCAATCTTAGGTAGACTATCCTTGTCCCATGTGCCTACATTAGTAATTATAAAAATCATATACTGCTTGAAAAGTTAGCCAGGCTGGTGGTGTTGTGAAACCATTTTAAAATAACTTTAACTTGATCTCTTAATGTTTACTTACATTTCAGTTCCACCCAAGGGCAAATGCTTATTTTAAATATAACCTATCTAAACATTTGACTTCTGTGCAGCCAGAGAAAAAGATTGCAGTGGTAACTTCTCCTTTTGAGCCTTTCTCAGATTGCAGTATTAATAATGATGTCAGAATATTCAAGTATCCATGAAGGAAACAGCAGGCCACATGCAGATATTGTTCAGTTGAATATTGTCATGACTAACAGAGGGAAGCAAATCAGCTATGATTTAACTGTTACCATTGTAGGATTCACCATTTGTATGCAAATGTAAAACATTGGTTTATTCACCTTTCTTCAACCTCTTTTTTTGAATCTTAAAACATTTTTGGCAGTTTAACATGGTCAGTGTGTTCTTATAGTAATGTTTTGGATGTATTTTAATTGGAATTTAATTTCTATTTAGATTTGATTAGATTGATTTTATAATAAGGAATTAATGTCATATTTTCATGTTTTAAATGTTATTTAATTTTGAAATATGCTGTATAGCATACAATTCTGATATTATTTAAAACATTATTTTGTTGCCATTTGTTTTTAAAACCAAGTACAGTATGTGCTTGAAAGATCTAATAGTAAATTCAAATTATAATGTGAATATCTGCCAATATTTTGTTTTGTTCTGTATCTGCTGAAGATAACTGAGGAGGTTACATGCTTCTGTTTTGCAGAGGGTAACAGAAGGTGTCCAGAAGACACAGATTCGGGGAATTGGCTTTGATGCCACCTGTTCTCTAGTAGTACTTGAGAAGCAGTTCCAGCCGTTAGCTGTAAATAAAGATGGTAGGTATTAACAGGAGCTTCTCTGAAGTGGAGTCCATGGTTATTTTGGAGGTCAAAGGTTACTATAGTGATTAAGGCCTGGATTGAATCAAACCTTTGACCCACACTATCACCAATTAGAAATCTGGTACCTTATATCTGCTTTTTGTTTAGCAGAAGATTATTGCTTCTGTCTACCACCAAGCACTGGATTTGTAATTTTTAGTTTGTGGTGGGAAGTTTAAAATGTGTAACTTTGGGAGCATTTTTACTGACAAGGTCTAGAACACAGGTGTCAGAATTGGGAGGACAAAAAGGTCTCCTAATTTACATTCTGACTCCCTATTAATTTAAGTAATCTTAAATACTGGTTCATGGACCCATGTAATGTTTTTTTGGATTCTGTTAAAGCTGATAATTTAAATGCTTTAATTCAGGTACAATAGCTGAACTACCTGAGGTATGTAATAAAGAATATTTTTTTACTGTAATAATTAAACCAGTTAAGAAGACAAATGGTCCAGTACTGCAGTTCTGCTTCCTTCAGTATTATGTGAGATAATGTTTCCCAGTGTTGTTTGCAGTACAAACTTTGATTGGTTTCTCATTGGATATGTTTTGTATTCACAGATACTACAATGGGCACTATGTGTTAGAATGCTAATATATAAAGAATATCTTCTTCAGTCACAAAGCTTGTCATTTTGAACTTCAGAGGCTACCTTGAGAGTAGTGTTCATTGAGATACTGTAGTGTGACATTACAGAGATGTTCTTGAACATTTGATTATTATACAGTGAGCTAATATGTTTGGGATTGCAGTTTGATTCACTGTTGTTCTGGATCAATTTTTCCCTTTAAGTAAACAAAAGAATGGTTAGAACTAAAGATAGAATGCCCCTTTGTTGCAGTGTATTTCAAATCACACAGTAGGTTTCCAGTGAAATTGATATTCGTGATTATTAAAAATCATAAAAAATCAGTGAATTTCAGTGTGTTCAGCAGTCTATGGCAGTATTCACCAGCTCCAGTGCACGAGGCCTGCAGTCTGGCAATTTATGTCTTTAAAAAATGACTACCTGAGATCAAAAATATTTATAGGAGGGGTTAAATTGATTCAATGAAGTGCTTAGTAGCAATGAAGACCAAAAATCCATCTTGATCAGATGATGACCAGAGCTGTTGTGAGGTCAGAGGTCATCCAAGCCAAACTCTCCCCTCACTGGGTCCCATCATCTAATTTGTGGTAGGTTTCATGTACTGTACAAGTGGGATGAAGAAAATGTTTTATTTAACTTAAAATGTTTAGTGAAAATGGCAAAACTGAAGTTGATTTATTTGCTTTGAAATAACATATATAAATAAGAAAATAAATTGGGGTTTCCCCAATGGAGAGGTACCTTTATGACTGGGGAAAACTCTTTAGCCTTTTACACTAATTTATTTTAAACCCAAAAACATGAAAATCTGAATTAGGTTAAAACATTGACTTTTTGTTGTTAATAACTAAAGTGGGTTTTATTAAAATAATTGTAAATTTACATACTAAGAAATCTTGAATGAGGCCAAAATGTTTTTCTGAGGCAGTTTTTCTGTGTACTATTGAATTGAGGACAGGGGAGCCATTTCAGAATTCCTTTTTTAAATCTTTTTAAGATGTAAAAGCTTTCGTATTTCTCTTTTGGGTATGTTAGCAAGAAAAAAATAAATGCTTTATTATGGTTTATTTCACAGTTAATGAAAAAAAATATTAAACATTTGGATTCATGAAAAGACATAGGCATCATTGTCTTGTTGAAATTAGTCATTGTAATGAAAAAGTTGCAATTTAATTTTTGCTTAAGAACTAGAATCTAATAGAAAGGATATAAAATAGTGATAATTTAGTATTTTATCTTACCATTTATTTATATTCTTCATTAAGTGATTTAAGAATTTGGAAGTAGTTCTGTGGATAAGCAAAAGAAATATCTGAGCTTAGTATGCTTCTGTCTTTCCATAGTTTGAAATTCTATTGTAGTTGAACTTTTCACAAGGTCAAGGTCTTAAAAAGGTTAGACCCATCAGTTTCCTTCTTGTCTGGCAGGTCAGTTTGGATGGACAAACTGATCTAAGCAGTATCTGGGTGCCTTCTACTTCTTAATGGTTTGCTTCATCATGCTTAAAGAGACATTAACTCTTTGCAATGTTTTCATTCTCCTGGTTTGTGCCTTTATACTAGTTTAACCCTGGGTTGTTTTGAAATCTCCTTAGTCTTCATGATTAAAACTTTGCTGGAAATTCACTACCTGACTGGGGGGGGCTTAAATTCTCATAAGTGCTGTTTAGAATAAATCATGTGAACCACTATTATTGCACACAAATGCCATTCAACTAATTGCTTGACTCGTTAAGCTAATTTCATGCACCTGTATTTAGGAGTGCCACAGCTGTGAAAATATAATATAAAGTATTTTTTCATAGAATAATATATACATACTACAAAATATGTATGTGTATTTTGAAGATGCATAGCTCCTGCCTGTGTGCTCTTGGTGATGTTATTTGCATGTCTTGGCTATTTTAAGGCAGTGTTTGAAATTAACAGTAATTTTCAAAATTAGGATTCAGTGAAACCGAGTGGATTAGGTGACTGATTGTCATGAAATCTTTGTTTTAATTAAACATTAACTAAATTTAGAGGAATGTTAAAAAAAAATTAGAGTACCTTCCAGTAAGTCAATATAATTGCACTAATGGGGTTTATTTACTTGTATCATTAAAGTTATTTACTTGTTTATTTCTGTCACATACTGGTTAAGGTCCCAGTCAATTGTCAGTGTCTTTCATGCTCTGTGTCATCTTTATAGTTTGCTGTATATCAGTGATACTGCAGGACTTGGCGATCCATGAGCAGCTGTGCCAAAAGTAGAAGTGGTGACACTTAACAGTCCTGCCAAAAATGTTCAGCTGTTGCCTAGTATTGTTTAGTGTTTTTTTAAAGATCGAATGGGATTTGGAAGAGGTATTTAAAAAAATATACATCTATAAATATCACTGCTATTTCTTTTGTCTGTGCTGACTTGGTAAACACAGTTACAGTTCTGCCAAGAATTAGTCATGCTGGCTATAAAAACTGGCATTCTGCTATTTGTAGAATTACTTAGAGTGAGCTGTGGAAGTATGCCAGATTTAACAGCCAAGCCACCAGGAATCATACATTTCATGATTCTTCCCTGTCACTTGAGAGACAAACCTCAGAAATAGTATTGCAAGGGAAGTCTTTGGATTTATCAATGTGTGTGCTAATTCAGAGCAGACCCACATAATTAAAGTGTGGTTTTGTTTTCTTTTACCATATTAAAAGTAGTTTCAATCAGAATTGTTAGTCTTAGGAAGCTGGAATCAAGATTTTCCACAATAAATTCTGTATCCATTGTGTATCTACTGTACATATTTCATGTACCAAAACACTTTAATAATACAAGATGTATTACTAGCCTTGATGGCAATTCTAACAGGTTATTCTGTATGTGTACACAGTATTATGAGATGTTGCAATTTACCTATTGAAAATATTAGAGCTCACATAGGTATTTTGTACTCCTCTTTACTCCTGAGTATGAAAAAATATGTGTGCGTTTACATATGCAATTGTATTGTGTGCACACATGGAAAGAATCTATACTAGGGTATTTATAAGTGTAATGATGTGTCAGTGCAGTGGAAAACAGAGAATGCTGTTAAAGAATGTTGCCAGCTTAAACATCAGGCTGTGCAGTCTTTTTAATTCAGCCCCCCTGAATCAACCGTCACTAATCTCTAAGAACACTTCCAGCTGATGTAAGCATCCTTTATCGGCCTGGAACTGGCCACCTGTGTTTTATTCAGTGGAACCAACTGGTGGAAAACTTCAATACAGGAAAGCTACAACTGCTAACATAGCTGACCATAGTGAAAGACCCAATGGGACTTGGCCATCAAGTGCCCCTATAATGTTAATGAATCAAAATTAGAGGCCTGAATCCCAGCTCAGATTAATTTCCATTGTGTACATATATAGTTGTCTCTAGAACTGGCTAACTCATCTTTATTGTTGATATAACAAATGATGGCACCAGAATGAATTCTGAAATTTACAGAAAAGAAAATGCTTTCATACTTATTGGGTAGTGCTTCACCTTGCATTATGATACTGACCCATCACATATAGCCAATGCTATAAGGTGTTTTGCAGGAGAATAAATTGGAAAATCTTTGACTGGCTAAATTAGTCTCTAAAAAGTTAAAACCAACAGAACATGCATGCACAGTGCCAAGAAAAGGTTTGTGAACCCTCCATAATGGTCCATATTATTGTATATTTTAGACCCAAATTGGAATTATGTGAACATCTTAATAAAAACTTTACGTTAATGAGATGTATAACATTAAGACATAGAATATATTTTTGAATTATTTAATACTAAATTATCCTACAGTAGTTACAGTAACAAATTATACTTTGTATATAAGTATGTCAAGCCTTCAATTAGGTAACTGCTGATGCCTCCTTCAGCAATGACCTTAACTAGTAATTTCCTGCACAGTATGTTGTTCTAATGTGATCAAATGTATACAAAGTATCACTTAAAATATATATTAATATATATTTTATATTGTTCTTTTCTTTTATATTAATCTCATTAGCACAAGTACAAATTATTTGACTGTAAATCAGAAATAACAGTTTTGACCTAAGTAACCCACTACTTCCGGTGGACACTGTGAGAAAAAGGTTAACTTAATGGTGTTCGGGACATGGATAGTGTCACGACTATAGTCCCCCCTCCTTAAGGGTGCTCCAGCCCTTTCACTAAAGACTTCATTCTCTGCACCTGTTTCCCATTCCCTGCCCACCTTAAAAGCCAGGCGCTGACGCTCTTCCGGGCTCTGCATCTGGTTTCCGCACCATGCGAGTCCGGGACCAGGAAGCGCCTGGTCCCGTTAAGGTTTTAACCTCCGTTCCCGTTCCCGTTCCCGTTCCTGTTCCCCGTCCGCCGGTTCCGACCCGGCCTTCGTGGTTTTAATTCCGAGTTCTGATGGATCTCCTGGTTTTGGACTTACCTTCATGTTTTGGATACTCTATGGATTACTCTTTGGGATTGTTCTCCTCGGCCACACCTCCCCCGTGCACCAGCGCACCTTGGACACGCCCCCCTGTCTTCAGCCCCGTTTTCCTGCATGACGTTTCCCCAGTGTTCCCCCACTTCGTCGGATTGTGTCGTCCGCATAGGGTCCGGAAAGAACTGTTCGTTACAGATAGTAGTCTTATTGTTGGTGTTTGCGGCACTCAAACTGCAAAGAGATATGTTGACACCTGCACTCCACAACTTTTTTAACCAGAAGCCGATGTCAACATAGTCTGCTAATTTTATGATGTCTTTTTAGTTTATGGAATGGTAAAATAGTGAATTCACAGTTATAATTAGAAAAGTTAAAATTTAAAATCAAATGTTTGGACATTAAAATAGGTTAGTTAAGAAGTGCACTGAATATAAGAACATTATGAGGGCTTAATTCCCACTTTTTGTCTTGCATTTGTTTTGTTTTTTACCCTGTTGCAGGCAGACATGATTCAAGTTTCCTCTTCTCTTGGGTTGCCAACTATTCCTATTTCTCACCATACCAGGTGGTGTTTTTGAAAGACTGGTCTTGTGTACTGCAGAGAAGGTCAAGAGACTGTCTGGCAGGCAAAGCCCTACTCCTGACCTTCAGAAGCACCAGGAAGTGAAATCACTTCAATAATGTACACTTCACGAGCTCTGCTCTTTTGCTGCCTTATAAAGACCGGTACAGAACTGCATACTGTAACTAAAAGAAGCAGTGTCATATTAAACAAAGTAAGCTTTCTGCTCAATTAGGGCTAGGCAGGGAGAAGTGTGGTATCAATTTGTCATTGCACATTAATGCAGGAAAAAATAAAAACATCCCACCTTTGCTTTCTAAAGAGCATATTTCCTTTGGGATATTCTGTTAAAACCACAGCAGTGAGAGAAAGTCACAGTAGTAAGACACAGTATTGAGTAATAAAAAATATAAAAAGGCAAAGTAAATGCACTGGAGAGAACTAAGTTAAAGTGCAAAACTGTTGATTTTTTTGTGATATTGTTATATTGGTTATATCTGGATATAGTCACTTGAACCGCTCCATGCTGTAGTTCTCAAGGATAGTATCAGAAAATTAGCTCCAGGATGCAGTAAGGTGGTAAAAAAGAACCAATCAGACAACAAAACAGGGAAAAGCTCAAACGTAGCACAACAGTATTTATTATCACACTATTCATTTTGTCACTGTTTTGTATAAACAATTTTTTGTCAGACCAAATTTGGACCAAAATCTTGGAGCTGTGGCAACAAATTTCTGTCAAGAGTTGTAAGCTAATTAAAAGATTAAAATAAATTAATACTTTGAGAATCTGTATCTATTACTATGCATATAGTATGCTCATTATATGCATATTTATTACACTATTTTTAGTGTTTCCCTGATCTGTTGTCTGATTAGGTTTGGTTGTTTTAAGATTTATTGAGTTGGGTAAAGTCATGGAAGGTGTGGGTATAATATCTGGAATGACCAAGGATCTTAGGATTCAGTCACAGGTAAGACTAATTAGGAAACCTCGTAATATTGGGAGCTGGGGCTTGAAAAGTGTTGAAGGGAGATGAACGGAGCAGTGCCGGTGGACCCTGCTGTCTGTGTCCGAGCACAGCTACGCCAGTTTGAAAGTACCTTGGGGCAAAATGCTGAGGGCTTCTGGATGAAGAAGACATTGGGCCTCCGATAGCACCATCTTCAATAAGGCAGGACTGAAGTGAGCAAGTGTTATTCTATTGTTTTGCATTTCTCTTGAATGCAGACATTTTTAATAACTTTTCATTACAAAAGCCGTAAATATCTTAATGGTCTAATTTCTTGAATTCCAAAAGTTTTGTGCACTCAACTCAACTCAAAAGACTGGAGCATAACCTTTAAATCATTATTTTGCAAATAATTATACTAAAAAGTGTCGTTAGACAGATTTTTGATGACTACCCACCGTCTTTTCTTTTACCTGAAGGAGAGAATGACAAGAATATCATTATGTGGATGGATCACAGAGCATCCGAACAGGCAGCCTGGATCACTAGGACACAACACAAGGTCCTACAGTCAGTGGGAGGGGTGATGTCCCCAGAAATGCAGCCCCCCAAACTATTGTGGCTCAAAGAAGTGAGTAGCCCTCTTGTGATTGTCCTCACATTTAACATTATACTTATAAACCTGGTGTGGTTCATTGTCCACTACCATTATAATCCTTCTCTTACATTATGCCTTTCACTAATATAAAATCATGAATTATCTTCATACTGAAACTGTTTACACTGAGTTGCTTAGGAATTATCCTGGGGTTGAACTGTTGTTGTTGTAACCCTCTTGTTTTCATCAAAACAATTATTTTATTATGGATACATTATGTTTACAGCATATTATTATTGGATTTTTTTAAGTGAAACACTTTACCCAATATGTAACTCATTCTGAATTATGATGATTTTTTTGTTCCAGTTTCATTAGAGGTATGATTAAACCTGGAGGGTGCTGTATGCTAAAACAGGTTAAGTGAGATTTAGGACTGGTGGCACATGCAATATTTGTAATATCATCCCTTGTGTGAATACTCTCAGGTTATACATTTTATAAAAGTTCAATAACTGTCTACAGTGTCATTGTAGTGAAACATCCTTTGCACATATGTTTAATAAAGTGGATGTTTTTCTTTGCTAAAAAAGAAACATTAGAATATACCCTGGACAGGCCAGTCCATCAAAGTGGGCACACACAAACACTAATATCACGGCTAATTTTCCCAGAGCAACGTTCATTAACCAGTCTTTGGATTTTGGAAGGAAACTAGAGCACCCACAGGAAATCCATGTGAACATGGGGAGAACATACAAACTCCATGTAGGTAGCACTCTGGAAAGTGGACCCAGGGCCCCAGTGCCATGAGGCGGCAATACTACACACTGTGCCACCATGCCGTGCTCACTTTTCCACACATTCAATTACTGAAGCTAATTGAATGTGTGGAAGTAATGAAGCTAATTCATAGATAGGGATTATTAGGAGGCCATGATTGGTAAGGGCCAATGGGAAATTTTGCCAGGACGCCGGGTTACACACCTACCCTTTTCGAGAAACACCCTGGGATTTTTAATGACCACAAAAAGTCAGGACCTCAGTTTTACGTCTCATCTGAAGGACAACACCTGTTTACAGTAGTGTCCCCGTCACTGGTGCAGTGTGAACAGTGTGAAACACAAGATAAGTATATTCTAGGATGCTAGGAACTGCTGGGAGCTGCAGCATAAGGGAAGCCATTTCAGGAATTGACCGCCTTAAAGTGGAAATTCCGCTCAATTTTTGGTCATATTTTTTATGAAGCAAAATGGAAAAACCATGCTGGGGGGGGGGGGGGCATGTTGGGGAACTGCGGTGGCGAGTATCACTCACTGTACTTTTGATGTAATGTTTTTGTATTACACTGAAATTTGAAAATCATTGTGTTTTTTTCTGGGATTCAGGAACCTGTTAATCTGAGTAATTTACATTACATTTACATTTCTTTTGGGAATTAATTTTCACTTGTACTGGATGTACAGTTTTCATGGAATTAGTTTTATTTGTCAACCAATGGATGGCTATACATTTGCATTGCCATGAACATCCCATTTTAAAGGAAATTTATGTATTGTATGCTAGTTTAATGTATCTTTTTTGGGGGCATTGGCACCCGAGTGCTATCTCCCTCAGATTTGGTCAAATGTACCTCTAAAACTTTTCTTTATGGATCTGAATGTATTGCTTTCAGTTGGTGTGTAATCTGCTTCCATTTTCTTGCTTTTCTTGTGTTGTCACGTTCCATGGCTGTTGATCACTGGCTGCTCTCAGAACCTGCGACATTCCTGCTGGGAGAAAGCGGCACACTTCTTTGATCTCCCTGACTTTCTGTCCTGGAAGGCCACAGGGTCATTGGCAAGGTAAGAGAAGGAGAGCCTTGACATTCAAGAGTGATGCAAGAGCCAGGCTTCACTGCCACCTTGAGTGAATAAGCACATTAGAGCTTAAAATACTTATCTAGGTTCATGTGGTGTAATTCATTTAAATTAAAATGCTATTATAAATGTGGTTCAAGCCTGACTGTTAGTTTTCAGCAGATAAAACTATGAAGGGAACTGATTGTTTTCAAAATTCTTCAAAAAAGACTTTGACAAAGTCAACCTAGTGAACATTTTTAGAATGAATAGTGAAACACAAACCAGTGAATCCAAATAGAAACTAAGAGGAAGTACATTTAAACTATGTTCTCGTCACTGGAAACTTTCAGTTGAGTAGTCATGATGCTGGAAATAATTAATAAAAAAACACTCTGGTAAATAAAAACAAAAACCTTTATTTTATAACTAAAAGGCATTTTATGGGCTAATGGAGGTTCATCTGCTTGATAGCTTACTTATTCAAAAATTGGGTAGGGGAACTTTGACTCTGAGATTGGCTGCATAATACGGTATAGTATGGCAGCACTAGAAGAGCAGGGAGAAGTCTGAAGGAAGAGGTTTATGATGGAACTCAGCTGTGGCTTAATCAAAGCAACACTGAACTGCAAAAATAAAACACATTAAAGCCCTTTAGGGATGCCCCTTGAAAATTTATTTTAAGATTTGCTGCCTATGTAGGGGATATTTCAGAAAACCTGGTGTTAAATATATTTTGCACTAGAACCAGCTTTGTCACTGCCCCTGCATAGAGCTTTGGGGGGAGGGGGGGTACCTGCACACTTCTGTGTGGACAGCAGAACTGTCAGAAGATACCGAACCCTGGGAATAATCTGGATCACATCCTCACTGAGTAAAGAGGGAGGGAAGAGGAGTGCTTGCAGATGTAGTATTGGCAGATTGCCATTACAGCCCTGCAAGGCTGAGCCAAGCATGAAGTCATCTATATCTTAAGGAGACACATTAATCCTTGACAGTGCGCCTTAATTTGACAAAGCAAAGACCCTTTGATAAGGTAGTACTGGAGTGCTATCAGGCAGGGAGTCCTCAAGGTTCAAGCTCAGGGCTGGGAACCAGAAGATAGGAACTAACACCAGTGTATGTTTGCTGGTCTCTTGGGGAGGCTGCTGATAAGGTCTGCCTGCTGTGTATTTGGTCCTCCCTATCTTCCTTGCTGTCTCTGCCCCTCCCTCTCCGTCTCTCACAGCTGGTCAGTGTAACACTGTGGGTATGTATAAACAAAGGTCCATGTGGTCTTTATATGAGCCTTTTCTAATGCAGAGAGTGGAAATAAACACACTATTTTTAAACAAATGCTGTTTAAATGTATTTTTAATCTGCCCTGCGTTTGGGAATGTATGATAGTCAACTAAGTTCCTTCTTTCACGTCCCACCTCTGGCAAACTAGATCTAGAATAATAAGAGACACAGTCCACGTAAAATTTTAAAAAATATGTCAATCAGTGCACAAAAGCAGCTAGAATGGAAAGTGAGCCAGAAAGTTGTGCTTAAGATGTTATGAACTTAATGTAGATGTAGTAATGTCATAGTGTAGATATTTTATGATTTTATATGTATTTGTGTGAAATATAGTTTGGTTTAGTGTTATTGAATTATAATTGTATTGCACTTTTGTCAAATAGTGGGTTTTAATTTGTTAATCGTGCAATCCATAGTATGACTGAAAATCTGAAAATCACAGTGACAACGTAACTACTGTCTCAGTATAAAACTGTCTAACAATATACGGTAACTATGTATTACTTCAAAATTGTCATAGAATAAAAAGGCTCTAATTTTAATTTCTTGCATGAGAAGGCTTGAAAAGTCTGGACTTTTTTATAGCAGACAGTGGAAGGAACCTAGCTGCTGCAGTCTCTAGCTGCATATACAGTATTACATGTAGGTTAAATGGATAATTTACAAGTGTGTGTATTGACACCCTGGAAAGGTGTTTCTGGTTTTGGTGAAGTACTGTGAGAGGGAGTAACATGTGTTCACATACCCCTCTCTGCTGTAAAGACCAGGCCTACCCTGCTCCTATCCCAGTATATTCTGAATGTTATCTTATCAGTGCTGCTATTATGAAGTTGTATTCGGATTGCAACTTCTGAGTTGTCAATGTGGGAAATGCATACATTTATTTATCAGTAGCCAGCCCCACTTAAGAGAACTTTCCCAGGCACTTCTTGACATCGAGGACAGTGGTTAAGCTGTTAAAGAGCTGGCTTGTATGATGCAGGCACCACAAATAGTTTTGAATTTCACAGCCATTAGTTTGGACCAGTGGTGATTTACTGTATGTCTGCAAATGGCCATTTTGAGGAGTCTCCTCATTTTTCTCCAAGAAGGGATGGCCATAGGAGAGATTTGACTCACACCAGCAGACCTCCCCCCATACCCTCCCCTTCTCAGCCCCTTCCCTCTGCAGCTGTCAGCCCTGGCCGGCGGTGAGCTTGGCAGCTTAATGTGAAATCTGAGAAGTAGATGCCGTTTTCTATTTCAGGAAAGTGATCTCAGGCAGGCAAATGTGTTTCTGTTGGCTGTGCAGGCTGAGCTGTGCTCTTGTTTTGTTTCATGTAGCATAACAGGAATTAGCAAAACACCCTCTTTAAAGACTCTTATTGAAGGACTAGAAATAAAGGATCAATCAGGGCTATAGGTGCCTCTGAGTTTTTCCTGTGTTTCAATCGACTTATGTGCTTTCTCAGAAGCTGCATGTAGGTTCCTTGTGAATTGGTCTGTTGTAAATAATGACTGCGCTGTCACTGTCAAGTGTGTGAGATAAGCATGAATTCTGCTTTCTTTTATTCTGTTTGGTACCGCATAGTAAATTATTTTTTAAAACTTTAATTTGAAGTTTCTTCTTTCTGTTTCTGTTCTTTGATGACTTTCACTGCTTCTCTGTATTTTCTGCATTTCTTCTTCCTGATCCAGAAAGGAGATTAAGAAAAAAGGTTCTCAGATAGTGAAGTTGTGGAAGTGAAATGTCACAAGTGCACAAACACAGATGCTTTGATGCACATAGCAGATCTTTCTCTCATTCACCTCTCCATACACTCATTTGCACTGCACCATGCACACACCCAGCAACAACAAAGAAAAACATTGCAAACACACTCACAAACAGAATTACACAAAGAAAAAATGCAAGTCTCTGGGATGTGAGATCAGTCCACTGTGCTCCAGTCAGCTTTGCAGGGAGGCACTTATAGCCCCAGTTGCTAATAGAGAGTGAAGTCCTGGAGGAGGTGTCTAGTGGTAAACAGAAGAAGTGCACATAGCAGGACCACTGCGATGAAGGCGTTTAGAGAACACAATGACTTATCTTATGCGTACAGAGGAGGTTACATATCAGAGGGTTAAGATATTCTAGGGAAAAATTATGATTTGTGGGCTACTAGGTTAATGGAACTGGTCAGGCAACAATATACAGTAAGTGGAACACTTATATGGCAGCAGGATTCTTGGGGATAGTCAGAATGGCTTTAATTGTGGTCTTGATTAATGTAAGAGTCTTTAAACAAGATACACCAGTAAATTATTCAATTGGAATTTATATATTTAGATTTTCACAAGGAATTTGATAAAGGTTATCATAAGAGGCTAATTTTCAAATTGTAGGCAATTCAAGGTAAAATGAGTGCTTGGATGGATAACTGAAGTGTATTGAGAAGGGGTGAATGTTCTTGTTGGAGTGCTGTAGTTAGTGGAGTACCACAATTTAGTTCAATTCAGTTCAATTCACTTTGACTTTATTTGTCATTATATTTACACAGGTGCATAGTATAATGAAAAGTATTTCTCATTAGTCTGTCATGTGCAGTATATATATATAGAACAGCAGACAAGACAATAGAAAGAAAATACAATAACAATAACAGTGTAAACAACCGTATTGTACCAGATCTACCCATATCTGTTAAAAACTGTGCAAAGGTACAGAAACAGAGCAAAGTACACAAACAGAGCAAAATAGTGCAAAATAATACGGCAAACAGTAAAAAATAATACGGCGATTATCAAATTGTACAATTAGTTGTGGGTACATGAAGAAGTGAGGAGTGATCATAGTTTGGTGGGTGGGAGTGGGGAGGTCACCAGCTTGACGGCTCTGGGGAAGAAGATATTTTTGAGTCTTGTTGTGTGCAACTGGAACGTCCGGAACCTTCTACCGGATGGTAGGGGGACAAACAAGTTGTAAATGGGATGAGTGGGGTCAGTCATAATTTTGGTGGCTTTTTTCAGACACCTGGTGTTGTAGATTTCCTGGATGGATGGTAAGGCATTGCCAATGATGTGTTGGGTAGTTATGACCACCCGCTGCAGGGCCTTGCGGTCGGATGCAGTGCAGTTGCCGTATCAGACTGTGATGCAGCTGGTCAGTATGCTCTCCACCGTTCATCTGTAGAAGTTGGTGAGGATCCGTGGATGCAGGCATATTTTCTTCAGCCTTCTGAGAACGTACAGCCGCTGTTGTGCCTTCTTGATGAGACTGGAGGTGTTGAGTGCCCATGTGAGGTCCCTAGAGATGTGAACACCTAGGAATTTGAAGTTTTTCACCTTCTCCACCGCAGGCCCTTCGACTTAGTTGGGGGAGTGGACTTTTCCTTGTCTCTTGAAATCAACGATCGGCTCTTTGGTTTTGCCGATATTGAGCCTAAAGTTGTTGATTCTGCACCAATCTGCTAGTTGTTTTATCTCCTCCCTGTAGGCAGTCTCATCGTTGTCAGTGTTCAGGCCCAAGACTGTGGTATCATCAGCATACTTGATGATGGTGTTTGTACTGAACTTGGCAGTACAGTCGCGGGTGAACATGGAGTATAGCAGTCTTGAGGGACACCTGTTTTAAGGGTGAGTGTGCTGGAGGTAAGGTTGCCAATTCTGACAGTCTGGGGTCTACTGGTGAGGAAGTCTAGGATCCAGCTAGAGAGGGCAGTATCTAGACCCAGAGCCCTGAGCTTGGTAGCAAGTTTTATGGGTAT